TTAACAATAAATGCGATAGTTATAAACAAATTAAAAAATGGGCACTTTTCTTGTTTTTTTGCAATAACTTTTTTGTTTATTAACCGATTTTAATTTAACAAGTCTCATTTTGTAGATAATTTTACTCCCTACAAGCTGTCCGTGAGTCACTTTTCGCTAAAATTGATGGTTTTCCCTGCAAATTGAAAAAACTGTTTTCCTCACATATTTGTTTAAATAGAAAAGTTAACTAATAAAAGTTTTTGACTCACGAGACGAGAGATGTCTTGTATTATGTTCCTTTAAACAATTTTACAATAATCTCGCGGATGGGACTTTTTTCGAGTTTCTCTTTTATTTTCGCTAATTTTCCTGGTGTAATATGTTTGATTAAGAAGTGTTCCATTTTTATGTATAGGCAACCATATATACACCTCGGATGTAGTGTGGGAAACCTAAACGTAATAATACAATGATTTTAATTATTTTCATTTTCCAAGCTCAAAATTGAAATAATAGTAATACATTAGCAGTGACGAAAATGTAATGTCGATTTAGGACGTTTAGGTTTGATGTATAATTATGTTTTAATGTTATACTAGCGAATAAAGTTACAAGTTGAGTTTGTAGTCGTTTTCAAAGGCCTATAATTTGCCCTAGTACAAAATTACATCTACTAGGCCAGCTAAATTATCGAAAAGACGCTTAAAATTTAGGAAAAATTCCGTAGAATTGAATGAACTATGTACTTTACCCCAGCTGAATGTTATGGCGGTTTTCCACTAAACGGACAGTCGAGCTTATGTCCTGTTTGTGTTTTCTAGAACCTGAAAAACAAAAACAAAACTGAAACAAACCCAAAACTCTTGTTTCCATCAAGCGGGCTACATTTTGTTCGAGTTTTGTTTTTGTTTTCGGTCCTTTTCTACTGGTTGGACTAACCAACCAACATGTTTAGAGAAGATTTTTTTATTCTTAGTTATGGCTGGTTTATACTGAAGTCCTTGGAAAAAAAGTGTCTACAGTGTCCCACCTCGAACTTCATCGATGGATATTTGGGAAACCGCTCTAAGGATTTTTTTGAAATTGTGGTGTGATACGGACCGTGACCAAGTTAAAACATTTTCAAGGTCATCCTACTTCCGGTTATACCGGAAGTCGATACTAACTTTCTTATTTTAAATGGAACCCCCTGTATATTATTGCATTTTTGGAAAGATCATCCATTTTTAAGTTGAAAACATATAGCACACTCCATACTTAGGATTGACCCTTTCCGAGATATTTAGATTTTTAAACAAAAATTGACAGAGCAGACTCAGCAAAATTTAGTTTTCCCGGTTTATTTTTTTGTGCAAATTGGACATTTTGTAAAGGAAGACCTACTTTATCGAATTTGACATGAAAATTTTCCAGTTTCCAGACAGGGTGGTCAAAAAAAAAAAATTGAATATGAAGTTCAGAATATGTGGAAAACTCGAAATTTTTAAATGGAAACCCCTAATTTTTTTGCAATAATATAGAGGGGGTTCTATTTAAAATAAGAAAGTTAGTATCAAATACGATGTGTATCGACTTCCGGTATAACCGGAAGTATGATGACCTTGAAAATGTTTTAACTTGGTGGGCCTCACGGTACGTATCACACCATCACAATTTAAAAAAAAAATCCTTAGAGCGGTTTCCCAGATATCCATCGATGGAGTTCGAGGTGGGACACTGTAGACACTTACTTTTTTTCCAAGGACTTCAGTATAAACCAGCCATAACAAAGAATAAAAAAATCTTCTCTAAAAATGTTGGTTGGTTATTGGAAAAATGTGTTCTGACTTGCTCGCGACAACCAGTGGAAAAGGACCGAAAAAAAAACAAAACTCGAACAAAATGTAGCCCGCTTGATGGAAACAAGAGTTTTGGGTTTGTTTCAGTTTTGTTTTTGTTTTTCAGGTTCTAGAAAACACAAACAGGACATAAGCTCGACTGTCCGTTTAATGGAAAACCACCATAATGCCCTTGCGTAACCCCTTTTGGGCTTGAAATTTTTTCTAATAGTTGCACTTTCCTGTGCAAATTGTGCGCATGTTACAAAGTAATTGGAAGTATGCGAAAAATCTACCGAAATTTTGACTTCTTGTTTTGAGTTAAAATTCAAATTTTTCCTAATTTTTACGTGTCTATGTTTGCTGAACTAAATTTTGGCACGCAAAAATCTGATTTGATTGGACTACAACGTCAATTTTAATGGTTCAAAGCAATAAAAAGAAACTGTCAAATTTGACTTATGAATAAAATTATTAGTACAGGCATTACAGTAGGATCACCCTCAAAAACTGACGTTAAGAATATTCCATGATAAAAAGGTGTGGATCGTGTTGGTGAATCAGATTATGGTTCGTGCCGCAAAAAAAAATCAGCGTTAATTTTTTATAAGCAAAAAACAGGTGAAAAAACAGGTTTTATAATTTTTAATATAGAACTTCTGCATTTAAAACAATGTAATTTCTACAAGATATCGGCGCTAAAAAGCCCTTTAATTTGAATGGTCGCACGTCAAAATCGAATAAATAGTTATTGAGTTATTGCAAAAAAAAAACACTAAAATAAACCATTTGTTAATTATTTAATAGCTTTAACAATTTGCAAAATATCAATTTCTACCATTGTGTAAACTAAGCGTTTCGAAGGGATAAAATTACGGTTCAAATTTGGAAGAAAAATATTGAAAACTTTTTATGTAATAGCAATTGTTATTAAAAATGGGACTTTTTTTAAANTCTTGTAGAAATTACATTGTTTTAAATGCAGAAGTTCTATATTAAAAATTAATAAAACCTGTTTTTTCACCTGTTTTTTGCTTATAAAAAATTAACGCTGACTTTTTTTTTGCGGCACGAACCATAATCTGATTCACCAACACGACCCACACCTTTTTATCACGGAATATTCTTACCGTCAGTTTATGTTCATTTTGGACCATTCTGTTGCCAGAATTCCTGTACTATATTGCAAGTTCACCATTTTCCGTCCGTCCAATTTTCCAGTACCCGATAAACCGCCCATACCCCGCGTTTCCGTACCGGCGCACCTTTCCCAGCCGCACCCCCCTCCCCTGCTGCCGTCCGTCCGCCGCGCTAGCCTCGGGGGTGCGTTGCGAGCGAGTGAAATTCAAAAAGAACGCGGGGGTAGGCCTGGCGCGATTCTATCGATCGCCCCAGCGCCGTCACCGCGTACAATACGACACCCACCATCGCCAGCACCGCGATCTCTCCGTTATGTCATAATAATAAAATCTTTGTGTTCAACGTCAGGTACTCCATTTACCATAAAATGTTCAAATAGTAAATAGCAGTCGGAGGCCGGTGCTTGCGGAGTGAAACGCTTCTAGTGCGCGTCGAGTGACGGTGTGTTTTGAAAAAGGCGAAGAGGATACATCGCATACATCATGTCAGGTAGGTCCTGCTCGTTCCTTTTTCCGCGTTGTTTTTGTTTGGGTTTTTTGCCCGGTCGGCGGTGAGTGCATGCAGTTGAGTAGAATGTCGATTGTTTTCCGGTCGTTGTGGGCCGTTATTTCATCCATGGGCTGGCTGATTAGTGATTAGCGCTGCGACAGCAGAAAAAGTTGGAATAATTGGGAGTAGGCATCTGATTTTATTGTGTACTTCCTACTTAGGCACAGCACCCTATGAGTTGAGGACGAATATTCCAATATTCGCGTTCGTTTTAAAAATGCAAATGTTTGATATGTGAAATTTAATTCTCATCATCTCTTATCAACATGCTAGCTAGATAAAAATGAATAAAGGATTAATATAATGATTGTATTAATAATAATAATATATGCATTATTTTCTTTAAGCTAGTTTTATAAAGTAGAACCCTTTAAATTGATATTGTGCCTCAAGTTAATAATCTGCTAGGTATATACAAGGTGTTGTTAGTAAAGGTGTTTATTGGGATTTACAGATTAGTCGTTCTCCTCCAGCATTTAGCATATCCTTTGAATATTCACAAAATGGTTTGAAATGACACTAAATTTTTAAATACGAATCCATCTGTGCGTACACACAGGGTGTCCAATAAGTCTCTACTAATCTTTCGGGAGGTAAAATAACACTAGGGCTTCCTTATATATATTTTTTCTTATGGTTGAATCTAACGGATTTAGGTCGGGTGACCTAGGTGTCTACAAAACATGTCGATCTTGATCTACCTGTAGATTATTAAAAGTCCGATAATAGTCCAACCAAATTACACTTGAGAGAAAAAAAAAATGTTACCCAGACTTTTATAAGTGGAAATGGTAAAATGGCTTATGATAAACCTAAAAAAAATAAATGCGTGAGCATAGGCGGCGGAGGGTTGATTTGGGGGATTGAAAAGTCATGAACAATTGTATCATGAAGTTTCCGAGATATTCATTTTTTCCGGTATGAAACACTTTTTTTTTCAACTTAGAAAAATCGTCGTACAGAGTTCTATCGGTGATAATTTTTTTCGTTTTCACATATACTTTTTGGTGAAATAAAAAAATGTGTAATAACAGTTCAAAAACATGCTCAAAAATGCAAAAAAATAAAAAATTTCCTGCTACAATGAATTTTTCAGTTATTGTTGATAATTTTTTTAAATTAAAAAACATTCAAAAACTGATTACACCATTCAATTCTACGGAAAAAAATTATTATTTATTTTAACCAACACGACCCACACCTTTTCATCACGGAATATTCTTACCGTCAGTTTATGTTCATTTTGGACCATTCTGTTGCCAGAATGCCTGTACTATATTGCAAGTTCACCATTTCCGTCCGTCCAATTTTCCAGTACCCGATAAACCGCCCATACCCCGCGTTTCCGTACCGGCGCACCTTTCCCAGCCGCACCCCCCTCCCCTGCTGCCGTCCGTCCGCCGCGCTAGCCTCGGGGGTGCGTTGCGAGCGAGTGAAATTCAAAAAGAACGCGGGGGTAGCCTGGCGCGATTCTATCGATCGCCCCAGCGCCGTCACCGCGTACAATACGACACCCACCATCGCCAGCACCGCGATCTCTCCGTTATGTCATAATAATAAAATCTTTGTGTTCAACGTCAGGTACTCCATTTACCATAAAATGTTCAAATAGTAAATAGCAGTCGGAGGCCGGTGCTTGCGGAGTGAAACGCTTCTAGTGCGCGTCGAGTGACGGTGTGTTTTGAAAAAGGCGAAGAGGATACATCGCATACATCATGTCAGGTAGGTCCTGCTCGTTCCTTTTTCCGCGTTGTTTTTGTTTGGGTTTTTTGCCCGGTCGGCGGTGAGTGCATGCAGTTGAGTAGAATGTCGATTGTTTTCCGGTCGTTGTGGGCCGTTATTTCATCCATGGGCTGGCTGATTAGTGATTAGCGCTGCGACAGCAGAAAAAGTTGGAATAATTGGGAGTAGGCATCTGATTTTATTGTGTACTTCCTACTTAGGCACAGCACCCTATGAGTTGAGGACGAATATTCCAATATTCGCGTTCGTTTTAAAAATGCAAATGTTTGATATGTGAAATTTAATTCTCATCATCTCTTATCAACATGCTAGCTAGATAAAAATGAATAAAGGATTAATATAATGATTGTATTAATAATAATAATATATGCATTATTTTCTTTAAGCTAGTTTTATAAAGTAGAACCCTTTAAATTGATATTGTGCCTCAAGTTAATAATCTGCTAGGTATATACAAGGTGTTGTTAGTAAAGGTGTTTATTGGGATTTACAGATTAGTCGTTCTCCTCCAGCATTTAGCATATCCTTTGAATATTCACAAAATGGTTTGAAATGACACTAAATTTTTAAATACGAATCCATCTGTGCGTACACACAGGGTGTCCAATAAGTCTCTACTAATCTTTCGGGAGGTAAAATAACACTAGGGCTTCCTTATATATATTTTTTCTTATGGTTGAATCTAACGGATTTAGGTCGGGTGACCTAGGTGTCTACAAAACATGTCGATCTTGATCTACCTGTAGATTATTAAAAGTCCGATAATAGTCCAACCAAATTACACTTGAGAGAAAAAAAAAATGTTACCCAGACTTTTATAAGTGGAAATGGTAAAATGGCTTATGATAAACCTAAAAAAAATAAATGCGTGAGCATAGGCGGCGGAGGGTTGATTTGGGGGATTGAAAAGTCATGAACAATTGTATCATGAAGTTTCCGAGATATTCATTTTTTCCGGTATGAAACACTTTTTTTTTCAACTTAGAAAAATCGTCGTACAGAGTTCTATCGGTGATAATTTTTTTCGTTTTCACATATACTTTTTGGTGAAATAAAAAAATGTGTAATAACAGTTCAAAAACATGCTCAAAAATGCAAAAAAATAAAAAATTTCCTGCTACAATGAATTTTTCAGTTATTGTTGATAATTTTTTTAAATTAAAAAACATTTAAAAACTGATTACACCATTCAATTCTACGGAAAAAAATTAAAAAAAAAACTGTCATCGTTTGACCCAAAACTTTATTTTTGTACAGCATTGCTATAAATATCTAATAAATTACAAATGCACAAATGATAAATTATCTCTGGGTGATTTGATATTTCAGCAATACAAAGTATTAACTACAAAGTCTTCTGTTGACGCGAAATCCGAAAACCCGAAATTTTGCAAAATCGTTTAATTTTTTTTCTGGCTTTATTTGCAAACGAATTTTAAATAAATTGCATATTTACATTGCCACTTTTTTCGCTCTATCCAATGGCGTCAACATTTTTGCAATCCGACGTTTCGTCTTCGCTGCTATTTTTATGACAAAATCTAGTCAAATTCTGTATTAGATGATATTACTATTGTAATCGCTTATAAAGGTTTTTAGCTATCATTAAAAATGTTTCCTGAGTACGGCTCTGAACGCTTTCAAAATACCTGTTTCTATTGGAGGAGAGAGAGGAGAGAATAAAAGTCAATACAGCACAAAATATCCAACAATTTTTTTTAAACCATAATTTAAAAAGATGTACCTAATAAAAAAGTACTTAATACGATTTTATGAAATATTTTATTGTTTCTAATTAGTAGTAATTAGTATTGCGTTCAGAGCCGTCCTCGGGAAAAATTTTAAATTATAGCTAAAACAAGCTAAAAACTTTTTAAGCGATTACAATAGTAATAATAGTAATACAATAGTAATATCCTCTAATTCAGAATTAAAAATGACTTTCGATTTTGTCATAAAAATAGCAGCGACGTATTTAAAAAAATTAACCAGATAATGAACCCCCGAAGACGAAACGTTCTAATGCTATCCCATCCTTATCTTGGACACACTGTATATCTATGAATTCATCAAACTTTAAAAAATCTAATCGATCCTACGGAAAAAAATTATTATTTATTTTATTTATTCACTATTCGACTTATGTTTATAGCAATACTGTACAAAAATAGTTTTGGGTCAAACAATGAGACAGTTTTTTTTTTATATTTTTTCCGTACAATTGAATGGTGTAATCAGTTTTTGATTTTTTTTTAATTTAAACAAATTATCAACAATTACTGAATAATTCATTGCTGCAAGTCATTATTTACTTTTTTGCATTTTGAGCATGTTTTTGAACTGTGATAACAGATTTTTTAAAAAATTTGAGGTTATTTAAGACAGAGAAAGATATACTTTTACCAAGTTTCATCAAAATTAAATTATTTTTGCGGAAATGAGAAATAAAAAACGAAAAATCAGAAAAAAACTATTGTTCGCATTTTTCTCGGAAATTTTGAGGTTATGTTAAAAAATGACTTCTACAAAAGTTGTAGATTTTTGCATGGCTTACAACTTTTGTATTAGATACTTTTTTGTCTGACGTCAACTTTCGCCAGAAATCCCAGTGATACAATTTTTCATAACTTTTCAACCCCCCAAATCAACCCTCCGCCGCCCCTGCTCACGCATTTATTTTTTTTTTTTTCGTTTATGATAAGCCCCTTTACTATTTCCACTTATAGAAGTTCCATTTTTTGCATTTGAAAATCTATATATTGTTCGCCCTACCCTATGTGTCTTGGTCTACTTAGTTTTCACGCTAAGTTCACTTTAAGTCCAACCTACGCAACGACACCAAAATCACTCCGATCGAACCACCCCTGCGCCCAGAGGTCGTGACCGAACATATTACATTTTGAAAGTTATCGATTCCGTAAACATTTCCAAAGTTAATGATTATTGAACGTTGGATTTCGGAAATACGAACAAAGCTCGTGTATTTTTTAATGAAGTAACTTGTATATTTGTCGCGTTTTGAATTTGTTTCTATTTTTGCAATCACAGGTCACTAAATAAACCAAAATATTGTGTAAATTGTCAAAGCAAATATCAGTATATCGGAAAAAGAGGACTCTAAAAAACTTGAGTGTTTTAAATTAGCAAAAGTTTGGTTTGTAGTAAGAGAAATCTTTGATTTTTACAGTCTTCTCCTAGATAGAAAAACAAAAGAGATAAAGGGAGTAAAATATTATGTGGATATGCCTGTACATAAAATAATATTTGACTAGGAACAGGAAGAACAGCGGGAAGTCTTTGACTAAACGACTGTGATTGTAATAATGCCCCGTTAATGTTTATTTTGTGTTAATATCACCTTTGCACTAAAAGATTTCGAATCCTCTCCGTGTATTTGTACGGTTTATGTGTTAGTTTTACGATTGATTACACGATTTGTAGAGTTCGAACAGTTTATAGTGGTAAATATTTTTGTTCTGCGTTGTATACCAACTACCCATCGCCTGTGTACGGTAAACCTTAACAGAGCCTGAGAAGTGAGAATTAAGCTTCCCGAAAAGGCAGATGTCAGCATTTCGACTGCATTTATACGACACAATGAAGGGATTTTGTTTGTATAGCATTTTTTCCCCGCTCGCTAATTGTGTACGGATTTAGCCAAGTGAACACGTACATAACGATTTGTGGAATAAGATAACAGGGTTTACACTTAATATAAACACGGGTAAAAAATATACCCGCCCACCAGTGATATGTAGATTTTTGTTTGGCATGCGATAAGAGCATTGTTATCATCAACGCATCTTATCACTATCATTCGCGGAAGCAAAAAAAATAACACAAAAATTGTATTTTAGCTTCACCTGCAATTTTCAGAAATTGTTGCAGCGTAGTTATAAACAGGGTGTTAATCAACTTGGGAACCCTGAAATTGTCGGGGAATTTCACAGATTTCCATTTTATTTTACCAAGAATAGCGAGATATCTAACGTTGGGCAATACTAACTCAAGAAAAATGCATCTCATTCCAAACGAGCCTCACGTAGAGTACATTCAACGTCTAAAAATAATGCTAAAGTAGAAAAATTAATATAAGCGCTAGTTTTGTTTATGTTATGCTAAACATATAACCTTTTTATATTTAGAAGACGTTCTCGAGTAACCACACTGGGAAATTAGAAGTGTCGGACCTCGCTAGTGTTTATGCTTGTTTACTTCATAAAAAATCCCAATAGCTTACTCCCCTTGGCGTATATTATCATTCTGAACAGTACCAGGGTCTCGTTTGAATATTTTATCTCAAAATTGTTTGCGTAACCTACTAAATTATGTATCAACCATATGCGGCTGGAACTACTTCCACCTGCGTATACATAAACAGAGACGATAATGTATGCCGTGACTAAACATTGAAATAATAGTAATGGAATTTCGTTTCGCGAAATTCCAAGCTGCATTAAAACGCCATTCAGTAAACCCTACGCGGCCATTAAATGATTAAAATGTTTCGACTTGGTAAAAACACTTTAGTGGCATAACGGCCCCTTAAAAAACATATCACATTAGCGCTCGAACGAAATACATAAATTACCTATTTGCAGAAAGTGTGTTGTTTTACTTTGTTAATAGTCTTTAGGTATTCAGTGACTGTCATGAGTCAGTAAACCAGTTCAAAAAGGAAATTTAATGCTCAGCGTCACATTTAAATCAAGAAGGCTCGTAAAAAATTGGAACGTTACTCGCATTTTTCCAATAAAATCGAAACGTTCCTCGAATTCTAATCTGCAATCGATTTATTTGCTTTATAGTGCACCTACTGAATTAAATGTCATATAATGAATGGCTTTCATCTTTTAAATGCCATTCTGAATACGGAATAAGCACAGAAAATTGTTTTATATGCTGTGAAATAAGTATGTCGAGAAGTATGTAGTGATGAGAGTGTAGAGAATAGGCAACGTTTTAAAATAACACCATTTGATTGGCTACAAAATAGACGTGTGAAATTTTGTTTGAAATGTTGAAACTGATTGAATACTATTTTCTGATGTGAACAGACTCCTTTTGCTTTAAAACTTTTATTCACAGGGAAATCAAAAATATTTCAGAAATGTTTGGTTTTGTTTAAACTACCCAGTCCAGATCTACAAATAATTTTCACGTGTATAAATGTTTTTAAAAAAATGCCCAATGTAACAATGAACACATTGCTTGTAAACAAAACCAAACGTTAACGATATGTTTTTTCCTGGCGCCTGAACAAAAAAAAAGTGTCAGAACAAAAAATACATGCGTTTATATAAACGTTTTTACACAAATATTTGCCAACAATTTTTATAGGTACACGTTTTTGTGTGTTACCAGCAAAAGTATCTAGATCTGGCCATTTTGCATATAAAAACATTTGTTTATATTAGCTTTGTTCCTAACGCATTTTAAACAGTTTCCAACAATGGAAACTGTTTTGGATTGTTCTAGGAACAAACCAACTGTATTTCGAAATTCGGATTTTATTTACTTAAATTAATAATTAATATCTTGCAGACAGAGACCGTGATTACATCGGTTTCGCCACACTACCCGACCAGGTCCATAGAAAATCGGTAAAAAGGGGATTCGACTTCACCCTCATGGTGGTCGGTGAGTCTGGCTTGGGCAAGAGCACCCTGATCAACAGCTTGTTCCTGGAGGACCTTTACAAGAACCGGAAGATACCGGACGTCAGCGAACGCATTCAGAAGACGACGGCCATCGAGAAAAAGACCATGGAGATCGAGGAAAGAGGCGTAAAATTAAGGTAAGAAATAATGAATTCAGTTCAGTGTAATTTTGATTGGGGGTCATACTTATTCGGAGACCACCTTTGATCTTTAGAAAAACATATTCTTGATTCCGTTGTGATAAATAACTTTTTTAACTTTCGTTTTTATGTACCTAATTTTCATACCTCGCCGTTGAACAGGTAGTGTGACCCCAAACAACAGCGTGCGCTAGCTGCAAACGTATACTCAGTTTGGGCTACCGTATGTAATGCAGTTACGTCTCATTTTCTTGATTCGTATACGTGTTTTTGCTTACTATCACACAGATTATTTATTTGACTTAAAAAACTAGTTTCAGGTGAACATTTTGAAGAAAATTTTTTCCTGTTATCTCTACAAATTTGTCCCCTACTTTAAGTTACATCTTGATATCAACTTATATTTTCGTTTATTAACGTGTTCAATTTTCTTAGACTGACGGTGATCGATACTCCCGGATTCGGAGATGCTGTCAACTGCGAAGACAGTTGGAAGGTCTGCACAAACTACATAGACGAACAGTTCAGGCAATATTTCACCGATGAGAGTGGGTTGAACCGCAGGAATATACAAGACAATAGGGTGCATTGCTGTCTTTATTTCGTGCCACCCTGGGGACATAGGTAACTAGATTTTCCTTATTTGCCAGCTATAAACGATTCGCTGGTGATTTAAAAAAATTTACTTCCTTTCTAGCTTAAGACAAATGGACCTCGAATTGATGAAAAGACTGCACCGTAAAGTAAACATAGTCGTAGTCATCGCCAAAGCAGACACCTTAACCTCCTCAGAAGTGGCCAAATTGAAGAAAAACATCCTGAACGATATCAGGGATAACGGAATTCAAGTAACATTTTCAAGAATGTCTTAAAGACGCGTTTCTTTTAATGTGACGTGTTTTAGATGTACGAGTTTCCTGAATGTGATAGCGACGAGGACGAAGAGTTCAAACAGCAAGACCGAGAACTGAAAGCGAGCATACCTTTCGCGGTGGTGGGCAGTAACGCCACCCTCGAGATCGCCGGGAAAAAGATCAGGGGTAGGCAGTACCCCTGGGGTGTCGTTGATGGTAAACGATCGGACGGATTAATTCAATTCAATCTGTTATAATCTCGTAACGTTTTAGTGGAGAATCCGAAACACAGCGATTTCATAAAGTTAAGGACTATGTTGATTTCCACTCACATGCAGGATCTGAAGGACGTGACGGAGGACGTGCATTACGAAAATTTTAGGGCACAATGCATATCACAGATATCCCAGCATGCAAGGGAACGAGGGTAAGATCTTGGCTTTGGTTTTACATTGAAATTATTTTTTGATGAATTATAAAAAAAAATTGTTTATTTCCGTTAGTAAACTGAAAAGAGACTCGGCTCCTTATGAATCTGATATTACAGACACAGATAGATTGCTGATACAAAAGGATGAAGAGGTATTTTAGTGTTTCTATACTGATAGGGGAAAAGTTATAAGTTTTTTTTTAGATACGTCGAATGCAAGAAATGCTAAAGCAAATGCAGGAGAAACTAAAGGTTGATGCTCAAGACAGTAATAAGAAACATGAAAGTATTATTGATGTGTAGAAGTTGTTGTTGGGTGTCTTTAGTACCAAAGAATCTTAGTTAATTTTTTTCATATTTATAATCAATATTTATAACTGTAATTTATTTATGTTATCAATAAACATTTATTAATAAAATATAATGTTATTTCGTCCTCCGTTTTTAGTATCTTTGTTTCAAATAACTTGTATTGAAATCGTAATAAAGTGAAATAATATATGAGCATAATAAAGTGAAAAAATAATTTTTTTAAGGTAAGTCGTACATATTTAATACATTAAAACGATCACGATTTGAACCTACTTTCAATGAAACTAGCAATTGCAGCACTATGAATAATTCATTTAAATTCAGTGATCTCACACTGACCTGATGTGAAAGGAACGTACCTAATATTATTCATTGACCTACATCTCTTCTTCTTCCCCTTTCTGAACAAGTAATCCTAACGATGTTACCCGATGTTGACTGACTGGACCGCCGACTGACCTGACAGTTCTTATTGTAAATATGGCGGGTGTCAGATAGCAGAACTGTCATCATCGATAATTTTAAGTGAAATTCGACATTTTCCAAGTATATAACTAATAATTAATAATGAATTTGTATAGTAATTTGTAGATAGTTATATTAATTGTATAAAACAATGGTTTCCGAAGAGTATATCAAAGCCGAATATCCATTACATTTGTATGTCTGGAAAAACGATTACAAAAGTTTAGAAACTTTACTAGCTAAGAAAGAGGTAAGTATCGTATTTTAATTAGATTATCCTTTGTATTGATTTGCGATTATTAGTAAGAGTCAATGTACAGTACTTGCTAACTTTCAGCATGATAAAGAAAAGCGAGACAATAGGGGGCGTACCCCCTTGATGCTGGCTGTTACTTTGGGCCATTTAGAATCTGCCCGAACGTTACTGAACGCCGATGCTAATGTTAATTGTGAGAATTTAAATGGATGGACCGGTAAGTCACAATACGATTAAAATTTATACTGTAAATACATTATATACACATTATTATCTCTTGTGTGATATTTATTGCTTTATTATTGATTTCTACTGTGCGCTGTTCATTTTGACTTCCTATCTGCTTATTAAACACCATAAATTGTATGGGAAGGTGTCATAAAAATAATGTTTATTTATAATGACTAATAACGGCTGATGCTAGATATGTGCGAACATGTTTATTATTCGTGTATCATTTAAAGCACAATTCAAATCGGTGTAAATATGCCTTTAATGTTACTGCTATTGTTGTACAATTTTAGTTGTGCAAGAAGCAGTTGCCACGGGTGACCCAGAACTGCTGCATATGGTGCTCGAACGGAGAGACTTCCAGAGGTATACCAGTCGTATGGCTGGTATACCGGAATTGCTACAGAGACTTAAGCAGGCTCCCGATTTTTATGTGGAAATGAAATGGGAATTTACTAGCTGGGGTTAGTTCCTTGCAGTATCTTTTTTCTCGTTGCGTTAATTCCATTTCGTAATAACTTTTAGTACCTCTGGTTTCGAGAATGTGCCCGAGTGACACGTACAAAGTGTACAAACAGGGCTCCAACGTCAGAATAGACACTACGTTGTTGGGTTTCGACCATACCAGCTGGCAGAGGGGCAGTAGAAGTTACATTTTCCAAGGACATAGTAAGTAAATTAATTTAGATGTATATATTGTAATTTCGAGTCTAATTTTTGTCTTACATCATTCGTATTAATTCAATTTATTTAATTTCACAAGCTATTCAGATATGTTCGCCGATAAGAGGGCGAAGGAGTTACGTTTATAAATTGAAAACGTTTAATAATATTGGTAAATATATTTTTCGCTCGCTAGAGGCTTGTATTCACTTTAATGTCCGATAAAGTCACATATAAACGTACCTGCTAGCAATAATGTCACGTAAAAGTTTGGGACAGTCGTGTGTTTTATAAAAAAATATTTATTGTAGATGACGGTGCTACGATGATGGAAATCGACCACGACCTGCAGCAGGTTTATTGCGAGCAGATGCGCACCACAGACGACGCTCTGGGAATATTGATACCCAACGAGGACTCCGTTTCGCAACGCTTAACGACCCCCATAGTCACCACTTACGTGGACACGGAGAAAATAAGTTTTGAGAGGTAAGAGAACGGTTTACGTTTTTACGTGTATAATATTTTAGAGTTTCATTTAGGAATAAAGCAGGAATGTGGGGCTGGAGATCTGACAAGACTGAGGTGATAAACAGCTACGAATGTAAAGTGTTCAGCGCGTCTAACGTGGAGTTAATCACTAAGACGAGGACGGAACATTTGACGGAAAGCGACAAGGCGAGGAGTAAAAACAGCAAACATCCCCTGCAGAATTTCCTGGGCATTGCCGAGGTCGGGGAAAGCCAAGCCGCCGCTCTCTTACCCAACGTAAGTTTTTTTTCTTGGGTTAAAACCGTGGGTGTCGATTAAATTGTACGTGTGTTAGGAGGAGTTCTCGAATTCAACCAACCCGTGCAATATCACGCCCGAGGAGTACTTCGATCCATCAATAAACCTGGAGGTCCAAGGGAGGGACATAGGACGTCCCAAGGAAGTTAACGTCAAAGTCCAGAAGTTCAAAGCCAACCTGTGGCTCTGCGAAAATTATCCCCTGTCGTTACCCGAGCAAATTCTTCCGATCGTAGACCTCATGGCGATATCCAGCTCTCATTTTGCCAAACTCAAAGATTTCATCCAGATGCAACTGCCGTCGGGATTTCCCGTCAAAATAGGTAACTTAGGAAAGACCCATAAAGGTCCGCAAATAGAACTTTACCACAAAACGTTCTTGCTTTCAGAAATCCCACTCTTCCACGTTCTGAACGCGAGAATCACGTTCGGTAACATCTTCGCGACGGACACGGCAGTACCGTACGTGGCAAAAATTCAAGAGGAGGACAGGTTAACCTGCGTTTTGGACGAGCAGATATTCAAGTGCCCGGCGGGATATTCCCAGATTGGTAATGGTAATGCACCCCCATACTTTTATTTTCGTTATATATTTGTTACGATTCGTTTTATATCCTTTAAATCGTACAAATCTCATGATTTCATTGTTGAAATGTAAATGCGGTTAGCGTTAACGTCAAAAACAAGCTTATAATCAAAGAAATTGTGGGGTTTGTTCGTCGTATCGTCTTTGATTTCATTTTTTATATCCTTCACAGCCATTTCACAATAAAAGTGTATTTTCGTTTATAAATTGCTGCACCGGTCATTTAATGTTTCTTTCAGCGGGCGTGGACGGTAGACGTCAGTTCAGCATGGAGGAGGAAGACGATCTGCTTCAGTTCGCCATCCAACAGAGTCTCATCGATGCTGGCACGGAAAAGGAAGAGGTAACGTACATATTTTATCCGTAAATGATCGGTTAGGTCCGTTACGTCCGTCAATGCATCCGTTTTAATTTTAGGTCGATATATGGGAAGCTTTGAAGGCCCAGAAGCCGTCGAGGCCCGAAACTCCAAATTTTGTCGGGGAAGAGGAGCGGCAGTTGCAAAGGTTCGTTTTATTTATATCGTTTTTTATAAAATTTTTGTTTCCGGTTTTTTTTTAAGAAGGAATATTTTTTTACATACTCTTAGAATTTCGCACGGGAAGTCACGAGAAAAAAATTAGGTGTTGTTCATAAAAATAGTGCTACTAGTTCCTATTTAGAAAATCCAATAAAATCTAAATGCTAAAAAGACGTTATCGACTAGAAAATTGATATAAACATTTTATTTTTTTTTATTTGATGTTTTTCAAAAATGCAACAGCTATTATTTCACAAATTTGATGTTCCTTTCAAGAAATCGGAGCACCGTCACACCCGAACCTTTATCCAAGAGAAAATACAGGTCCAGGAAACAATCGTTTTAATTTTGTTTACTTGCCGCAGTAGTTAGGCGCACCGGTGCAATTTAGAATTACCGTTGAAAGAGTGACCGCAAAAATCGCCCGTTTTTTCACAATTTGTAGGGAACTAAAGAAAATTGATAAAAATATGTTTTTGGTCTCAAATTACTTGTCGTAAAAAATTAAGATGAGCATAGCTTTTAGTTTTTTGAAATTTTTCAAAATTACCCCTTTTTTGGGTGTTGAAAAGATGCTCAAAATGAAGAACTGAATATTACGAATAAATATAAAAACTATTAGCATGTGAATTTTTCTATCGAATGATGATACGAAGAAAGATTTATTCTCATGAGTGAAATAAGCATGTTGAATTAGAAAATACACCCTTAAGCGTGCTTAGGAGGTGGAATCATCCCCAAAAATAGAGAATATCAGAAATAATTGTAAAAATTCCAAAAAAAATATATTAAGATAATTCACATGCTAATAGTTTTTATGTCAATTGGAAATATTAAAATTTTTCATTTTTGCCATTTTTCCAACCCCTAAGTAGGGGTGATTTTTAAAATTTTCAAAATACTAAAAGCTATGGTCATCTAAGTTTTTTACGACAAGTAATTTGCGACCGAAAACATATTTTTATGTATTTTTTTTAATTCTCTGCGAATTGTGAAAAAACGGGCGAAAATCACAGGTTTTTTGCGGTCAGTCTTTGTGCTAGACCACCTCTCTTTGTCTGTAGGGCTATCCAAGCCAGCTTAGAGCTTTACCAGCAAAACGTCAACTGTCCCGACGCCCTAGACAACAGCAGCCCCGAAGGGGACTCGGACCTGCACATGGCGTTGCTGCTGTCGCAGCAGGAGCGGGAGAGGGAACGGCAACGCGAGGAGCGGGAACGGCAGCAGGAGCAGCAGCTCCTGGAGGAGATATTGCGACTGTCCCTTACGGAGAAGTAACTTACGCAACGCAATTATCCATTTCATAAGCAATGAACATAGTAATAGAAGTCTTCTAAACAAAAATTAATCAAAGTACCAGTCTTTTTAAAGGTCCCGTCGCGGAGTAATACAGAAGCGAAACTGGAATGTACAAGTGCAGAAGCTTCGGTTGGAAAACAGCGAGAGCTTATTCAAAAATTAAATTTTACAAAATTAACCCATGCTATTTTATTATCAAATGACGATACGATCTTTGTTACGTTTCAAATCGCTCTTCTGTATTAATCCGCGGTCGCGTCGTGATGTGAAGTTAGCGGTAACGATGACAAGGTAAGCGGATTTATCGTTTTCAAGTTAGCGGTGAAACTTATACATACTTTTTTGTATATGAGGAATATTGTACTACGTATATTATTAAAAGGATAGTTGTTAATATAAGAGCTGCTTTACGATTTACTACTGTTTAAAAAAAAAGGTTTCTGTGTTCAAGTGTATGAAAATTTTGATAAAATAGAATATATTAAATAATTGAATCGATTAAACTTAATTGTGGGTGCTGCCGTTACTGTAAAAATTCTTAGGCTATGAATTTTGCGACTTAAAAATAGAAAGCAGATCTTTTGTAATAATCGCGGTGTGTACGATTCGGGGAGACTTGGAATTTCCAAAGAAATTTTCAAATTTTCATGAAATTAAGTTTAAATGAACGTTTATGGAAGTTCGCTTCGGGACATAGACAACTATTTCTTTCTTTGTTATTCTTATGCGTTTCAAGGAATGACGTCACAAATTATTTTCTCAACTGTTGGTTAAAAAAGACACTAATTACATCAGCGAAAAGAATGCAAAAAAATTACATCAGAATGGTTGGTCCACAAAACGAAGATAAAGATCAATAAATTAATTAAAAAAAAAATGAAACATAATTTTTAATTTATTGCCGTTTTGGTGTTGTTTTACACCATTTCAGGGCTCAAACATTCACTAAATGTTTATTATTCGCTAAATTTTTAAAATTGTAGTTTTAATAAAAGATACATCAACAAAAGTCACATCAAATTTGTACCCAACTGAAACGTTGGCAATGAATTAAAAATTGTTTTTTTTTTACTTACTATTGATCCTTATCGTCGATATTAATGATAAATCAAAACCACTACAATTTAAAAAAAAATAGTATTTCAATAAAGTTCAAGCGATGAAATTTTCTTTTCGATTTTTTGGTTACATAAGGTTTTCAGTATCTCTAATAGTTCCTGAGTTCTGCGTGACAGTTGAATTTCATTCACCCTGTATAAAAGTATAATGACCTCTTAAAGGTTGACACCAAGTGGGAAAAAATTTTTCAGGATTTTATGAAAAAAAAAACCATTTCTATTGATTTCTGCTTCTCTGAATACTAAATAAACTAAATACCAAAATAAATAGTAAATAATATAGTACTAATTACTAAATAAGCGCAACCTAAATATTTTAGTAATTTTTTATTTAAAAGAAAATGGCATTATTTTATCAGGAAAAGTTAAAAATACTTAAATTTTAAAAATACATTTAAATTTATTGGTCAAATTTTGATAAGTTTTCATTTATTTTGTCTGAATCTAAATTTCTCTATCAAAACGGTAGTATTAGAAAAAAGAAAATGAAACGTCAGTTTTTGATTTTTTCCAATTTTTCTAATGGTGGTTTATTTTTTATTTTTAACCTGAGGTTCTTATATATTTTTATAATTAGAAAACATCTTTAACAATGGTAGTTTCCATAACGATTTAGTGAGAAAAAAAAATTAACCTATTGATTTTTTTTAAACTGGGATATTTGAATTTTATGTGGGCCGTTTTTTTTTTGTTTTTCCGATAAAAATTTTTGGAGCTCTGGCGCCATGTCAAAATTTACATCGTGACAGCGTTATTCCAAAAATAAAAATGCATATTTTTCAAGTGGCCATCATTTTGACCCAAATCGTCCTATCAAAATGTTTTTTTTTTCAAAATGTGCAGAATTTAATCAGCTGTTGTTTTTTTGAGAATACAAATTGCTTTAAAACTGAGACAAATGAGAAAAACGGAAGTTATTTTTTTAAAAATTGATTTTCTCAAAAACTCCACTCTTTATTTTCACCAAATTTGGATATATGTCTTTCAAGGTCAAATAAGCTATCATGTAGCTGAGCAGCAATATGCAAACTTGCTCTGTTTGGGATACGGTTTTCAAAATGCATATTTTTTTTTCATATGGCCGTCATTTTGACCCAAATCGTCCTATCAAAATGTGCAGAATTTAATCAGCTTTTGTTTTTTTGAGAATACAAATTTCTTTAAAACTGGCAAATGAGAAAACGGGTTCTTTTTTTTTAAATTGATTTGCTCAAAAACCACTATTTTCACCAAATTTGGATATGTTTTTCAAGGTCAAATAAGCTATCATTTAGCTGAGCAGCAATATGCAAACTTGCTCCGTTCGGGAGATACGGTTTCCAAAATGCATATTTTTTTCATGTGGCCGTCATTTTGACTCAAATCATCATGTCGAAACACTCATTTTTCAAAATGTGCATAATTTTATCAGTTTTTACCTGTTTTGTTTCAAAATTCAAATTGCTTTAAAACTGTGAGATAAATGAGAAAAATGGAAGTCAATTTTTTTTAATTTTGTTTTTTCCGTTTTTCTCATTTATCTTGGAAATTTTTAAAGCAATTTGAATTCTGAAAGAAACAGGTGAAGGTTGATAAAACCCCTCACATCGTGAAAAATAACTTTTTGATAGGATAATTTGGGTCAAATTGAGGGCCACTTGAAAAAAAAATATGAATTTTCAAAACCTTATCTCTCAAATCGTTTTACCCATTTATCAGAAAGTTTTAAATTCTGCACATTTTGGAAAAAAAGTGGTCCGATAGGATGATTTGGGTCAAAATGACGGCCCCTTGGAAAAAATATGCATTTTCATTTTCTGAATAACGCTATCACGATGTAAATTTTGACATAGCGTCACAGAGCTCGAAAAATTTTTGGAAAAACAAAAAACGGGCCTCGTAAAATTCAAAGTAGATTAACATCCCTGTTTAAAATAAAATTAAGGGGTTGATTTTCTTTGTTCGTTTTTGTTCTTCCCGTAACAAAGTTTGCAGATTTTTTTTAATACACAGAATTAACGTTATTAGTTTACTTAAAAATTGAACGTCATTCGATAAACTTATTTTTTTTTATTTTAACTAAATAAAATGTCAATTTCTCCTAGATAAAAATATTCCTTGTATATCCATCTTACGCTTACTTGGTATTCGGATAAACAAAAGTTGTTAGAAAATGTTTTATTTTTAAATCAAATAAATTGATAAAAAAAATTAGGAAATGGTGATGATAATTGATATAGAGCATATTTATATTTTTGCAAACTGCAATTTTTTTTTAAATTTCCCTGGAAATATCAGGCAATTTTTTGATCCAAATTTAGTAAACGCCCGATAATATAAACAAGATCTGCAAATACATTTTTTTTTATAATTTAAATTCGTACTTATACATACATTAACTCTTAGTTACTGTCGAGGCAATAACTAATACTGAAATAATTTCAATTAAGTTTCCCGAGCTACGGAATCTATTTTTTATTCTACGAAATACCCGTGTCTAAAAAGGCTGGTAAAAAAAATTACTACAAAACGGTGATACATTTTCTAAACATCAAATCATTTTAATATATCACATGTAACTACTACGCTAATCAGAATAGTTAACCCCTTAGGTACCCCTATCTTTTTTATGCTGGAACTCGTGATATTACGTAGTTTTATCCATTTATATGCTTCGGTTGTCTATTATAAAGTATATCTCGTTTATTAAACTAAACATGAATGGGGGCCAAGTACGCATCCATGCCAAAATAGAAGAGAACGAACCTAACACTTATAAATTGTTCACTTACAGGTTCGTTTCGATATAATTTCTAATCGTAGGAAATTGTTATTTATTTGTGTAGTTCCTATATTATATTTATTATATATTTTACAATATATCTAGGTATATGCTGATGTTACATAACGGAATATTTATTTAAAAGTTTGTAAATAATCCTTAATAAATTGTTTCTTCCATCAAGACGCTTCCTGCTGTTTACTCCATATTTTCCTGCGCCCTAAAAATGATCAAGTAAATACGCAAAATTAAATATCATCCTAACAAACTCACTTATTGTAAATGGCTTGTAGCATTTGGGTACTTCTCCCGTATCTCTCTTCGTTTTTAGCCGCCGTTTCGATCCACTTCTTCTTTACTTTAACCCACCTTTGCAGGTGGCCACAGATTAGTTCGTTTTTTTCCACCACGGGACATTCTTCCTTTAAAAACATTAGCAAATAACAATAAAAAAAAAAGATAAATGATAATTTAACACCTACATAGTTCAGATTAATGTTGTCTTTATCCTGAACTTGTTCGGGAATCGGTGACGGAATTCTAGTTGTGAAAGCTCTAGAGGGTAGAGGCAATCTAACCACATCAGAAATTGAGTTTTCGTTCCACGGAGAACTGTCGGGTTCAGGGGATGAAACTCTGCGTCTAAAAAACATTACAACTTACCAACATTTAAATATGCGTGCAGGACGAAATAATTACTTTATGATAGGTTGTGGGTTCCTAGGTTGATTCTGCATCCATGCTCTACAAATCGGATACAAAGGAGTATCTTCTTCGAACCTGGCCAAATCCACGCTACGGTCGAACAATTTCATCACGTAAGTGTGGTGGTACGGGGTTGGCATGTTGTCGTTTTTTCGTTTGCGGTGTCCATCGCTACAAATGGGTTTTTAATAAACGGAATTGGTGTGACAAACTATTATTACCTGCGGCTTCTGTTTTCATCTGAAGAATCGCTCTCTTCGTCTGAAGACCGTTCTGTTAGCTGTTTCAAGACACCTTTAAGCCGGCCTTTTGCCATAAGATAATCGTTTCCCAATACATTTTCTTCTTTAACTTCGATTTTTACCGGAGCTGAGCCGGACAATTTACGTTTTTTTGTCATATCAGTGCACAAAATGATGGAAAATTATTTCAAACAAATACTTGACTTAAATTGAAATTGACCACAGACTGTCGATAATGCGGAATTTGACAGTTCATTGATTCATGGATAAAAATACGTTCGTTTCAATTGCCTCGTGTTTAAAAATATTATATTATACGTTTTGTGATTTTAACTAATGCATTACAATTTGTGTTACAAAAATTAATTAAACGTATTCAGTTAGTTAGTCGGCCTAATAGTTTGTCTCAATCTCGAATAATTCTATGAAAATCCTCGAAATCTGGCTGTTAGTTGCTCAGTTTGATCTAAGATCATACTGATGAATAGATAATTTGTATTAGTAAACAATAGTTGGCAATAAAATTTACATTTTGTTTTTTTGTAGTTGGTAGTATTATAGTGATGTTTTTCGAGGGAAGGAAATTAGTGGATTTGTCATTTTTACTGTTTATGTTCGTAGTGAAAAATATTTAATTATACCATTAAAATGACTTTAGAAACGATTCCAAAGGATTTAAGAGGCTTAAGAGCTTGTTTGGTATGCTCATTGATAAAGGTAAATACACTAATAGACAAAGTTTAGAATGGTTTGGCCTAATCTTTTATTTTCCAGTCCTTTGAACAGTTCGAGTGTGAAGGCTGTGATAATTGTGATGAATTCTTAAGAATGAAGAACAATCGAGATAACGTGTATGACTGTACAAGTTCTAACTTTGATGGGTAAGTTGTTTTATTTATCAATATATAAATGAATTCTTAATGATATGCATTTACAGAATGATATCGATGATGAGCCCTGAGGACAGTTGGGTGGCTAAGTGGCAAAGAATAAGTAAGTTAATTACGAGATTGTTCGTAACGTAAATTATTTATTATCTTTATTGTTCCAGATCGCTTTTGTAAAGGTGTCTATGCTATATCCGTATCTGGACGATTACCAAATGGTATTATAAGGGAAATGAAAAGTCGGGGCATCGTTTACCGCCCTAGAGATACCAGTCAGAGATGAATCATTGGATTTTGTTGCCGTATTTATTAAGCTTGATGGTAAGATGAGATATATGTAATAAGAAAAATAAATTTATATTAAAGACGAACTGGTAAGTTATTTTCCTTTCCTTATTTTTTTCCTATTTGCCTTATTGGTTTTTACATCTGACATATTGCTTTGTTCCTAATATAAAAAAATTGAGTATGTTGATTTGAGATTTAAAAATGAACGTGCAACTTTTGGTGTAGGTATAATATTTATTCCGTAAGTAATGATTGTTACATAGTAAATAATAAATAAAAAAATATATAGTGATCTGATACATTTAAATGACAATATTAATATTTAAATATTAGGGTTTAAAGTTTTGTATTTGTTATAAAAATAACTAGGAAAATATATATAATAAACGTGTATAAAATCATGCGCAACAATTCGGATAAAAGTTATAATTACAGTAAATTCTCATTTTTCTCCAATTCAGTTGGCGCTACTTTTTCATCTGTATCCCCAAGTTCTCCTACTGTGTGTTGGAGATGATCAAAACCAATCTTAAAAAGAACAAGTACATTTAAAAATTATTCTATGACCTATTTTTTGTTAAGTAGTTACCTCTATTACCGGATTTTGCAGCTCTGCGTAATCTATTAGACTGTTAAAAGCATTATCTATGTCCTCGGCATTCTCACTAAGTCGTCGTTTTGTAGCCTCAACATTCCTAGCACCAGTTTGCGCTATGCTTAATGCATCAACCCCCATCTGTCTCAATTCATCTTCCTCAAGCATATCGAATGGGTTTGTAGCGTAATTTCTTGAAGCGTTTTGTACGATAAATAAAGCCTCATTGTCCAGTTGCCTTTTTTCCATCGACTCCTCAATGGTTTCAAAGGGATTTCTTGTCGAATTTCTCCAGTTATTCTGCACCATACTTATAGTACCATCGCCGAACCTTATTTCCACTTCGTCGTCGCTCGATTCAAACGGATTTGCTCCAAAATTTCTTACAGAGGTTTCTGCTAGGCCTAGCGCGTTTTCGCCCATCCTCCATAGTTCAGCATCTGTGTCTTCTATTAAATCGAAAGGATTATTCGTGTTAATTTGTATAGCTGCCGGTATTCTATCGTCGTCAAAGTCTTGAAAAATATTTTCGGTATTCCTAGAAGCGTGTTGTGCTAAGTGGGCTAGATCGTGCTTGTTTTCGAATTCGTTTATGTCGTGCGATTGTTGATACGGAGGATCATTTCTGGCGAAGTCTTCAAAGTGTTCAAAACCAATCTGAAATTTTATCTTTTTGTTTAAAAAGGAGATTAACATAAATTTGGAATGTTTTAAAAAACAACAGAAGGACAAACCTGCGATTTTTGGTTCAGTTCTACAAAATCATCAATTTCTTCTGGTGCATAGTCTTCTTTGACAGCTTTTTCTGTCTCGTTTGATATAACTGTTGATGTGCCGGTTTGTGTAGGAAAATGTGTTTTGTATTCACTGGTGTCTTTTTCTATATTGGGGATTGTTTTATAAAGTTCAAAGCCGATGTAAAAAATATTTTAGAGTTTTTCGTAAAATCCTAATTTTTCTTATAGTATTTGTACTATTTCTATAGTTTTATAATAGTGTTGTAAAGATGAGAGCTTTCTTTATGTGCTTGAAAATATTCGCAAATGTTTGGTTATGAAAAAAAACTTGGTTCTTTTCGGAAACAGAAGGAAAACCTTTTCTTCACTACATGAGCAGCATGCCACACTTTAATAACTAGTTTTTTTAAATATTGGTAAAATATTTTGGTAAATGTTGAAAAAATTTAGAATTTTCACAAAAATATTTGAATATTCAATATTTGTCAAATGTAAATGTAGCACAAAATAACTTAGAGGATGCTTATTTCAACCCCCTTAAAGAGGCAGATTGTTGAGAGGTTGCACAATACATTATTAGAAAATTTGTGTAAAATTTAACTTGTACTTTTTTGGTTTTCAAATTACAGCCACTATTCCATATTTTTTGGAAACTGAGAAGCTATATCTATAATAATTATTATCAAAGCAAGATTATTAATTCCAACAATAAATCTCGAACTACTTGGAGTATTATGTCCAATTTATGTAATGAAAAGGACAAAATAATATTTTAATCAGTAAAAATGGTAGGTATATTACATGAGAATCCCAATACTGTAGCAGCTTTATTTAATGATTATTTTGTTAAATTTCCTTTAAATATAATTAATCATATACGAACAGTCAGTAATTTAAGTTCCATGGGCAAATCGGCTTCACAAATAAACATTTTATTTTTAACTCGCTTCGCAACAGGTGAATTGTTACTTTTAATTAACAGATAAGTTAAAAAATAAAAATTCGTCAGGAGGTGATTATATTCCGACGGTTCTTATTATTTAATTATTTAAAATAAAAATTCCCTCATTGCTTATGAAAGAATTTGTATCTCGTAACACTTTTCAACCCTTATAAATCAGCCCTGTGCTAAAAAAATTATAAAAAATTAACGTTTTAAATCTAATGCTATAATTGTGCAATAATTTAAAATAAAAATTCCCTTATATTGTTTATGAAAGAATATTTTACTTTTGCCATTTTCAACTCTTATAAACTACCCTTTTACCATATTAATGTAAAATATTTTTATTATAATCGATTTTTAAATATAATCAATCAGAAAAACATTGCTTCGCTGCATATAAATAATCACACTAATTTTTTTTACTTATTTTATTTGTATAATATAATATAGGTATAATATATAAAAATGAGAAAGCCTATTTTGCTCCGAAAAAATGTCATTGGTTTTTTTTACCATAACTCGGTTAATTTTGAAGCTATAGTATCCTACAAAAAAGCATTTTAAAGATCATTTCAAGAGCTGTAATATCGTTTGCATATAAAACCTTTTAAGTCCTTTGTTTTTTAAAGGGAAAGGATGGAAGGGCTCGATCAGGTCTTTTTTTTTCACTAAAATGGATACTTCAAGCGGTGATATCTCCTTTATTTTTTATCCTATAGGAATAAAAAAAAGCAAAATATTTGTTGAAAAAAAAGCTACATTTTTGTTATCTATAATTTTTTACGTATCTTTCATAGTTTCAGAGTTATTATATAAATAAGGCAATTTTTTTTGAATAATGAAATATACGATTTTAATTTTTACCATACATTATTCAAAAAATACGCATTCTAAACCGGTCTAACTTCAGAATCGTATGAAAAACACTAAAAACTAATTGTAAAGGGTCTACGATTAATTTTAATTCTGATGGAAATGGTATAGCATTTACTGCTCATATTTTTTAAGGAAAAACCCATCTGTTTTCATGATAACTCCTTCAATTTTGCTCTAATTAACTTTTATAAGTACTCATTTTGAAGGTCTTTTTGAGTACTACAAAAAACTCCCGGAGCGTTATACACGTAAAATTAATCCTTTTTCCGCTATTTGACGTTGAATACGTCGATTCGAGTATTCCCCCAAAACAAGTCCCCTTCCACTAACCATATTTCGCTTTGTATAGAACGTACATCACTTTTTGAAAAACGATTTTCTTTGTTTATTTATAAGCTACATTTTTGTTCATTGCACTTTTTTTAATAAAATGCGTAGTTTTTGAGTTATTCGCGAAAAATACTTTGAAAGTGTTTTTTTTCACTCAAAATTCCAAGTTTTCAATCGTGAATAACTAAAAAACTATTGATTTCTCAAAAAAATTCTTTGACTATTTTTTGCTCAAAATTTGATTCTCTGTTGATTTCTAGTGTTATTTAAAAAAAAAAAATTCCACCCCCGAGAAGGGGTGTCAACCCCCAACAGGGTGGAAGCGTCAATCGGTGCTATGTCACTAATGTTCATTGACCTTTTCTCTAACTATCTGCCAAATTTCAAGTTGATCGGTTCAGTTTCAAAGAATTCGGAAGTGAAAAGCTTCAATGTGATTGTAAGTTTCACTATTCCAGTACATGCTTGTTAGTTCATGTCTAAGAGGAAAATAAATTATTTTTATTATAATATCTGCTTTGATACCAGATTTAAAAATAGGGCAAATGAAACCCACTTTCCCAAATGAAGGAAAAGTGTCAGTGTTTAATTATTCTTTAATTATGATACATAAAGAACGAGTTACGTTAAAACTACAAGATGGAGTTATATCGTATAGAACATATATTCACAGGTCCTTCGCGTTTACGCTCACTTAATCTCATTTGTGCTTGATGAAAATTCTCCAAAATTAAATTCTCAGGCATTTTACAACACTATTTACAATTATAGTCTTAAACTACATATTTGTACCAACCTGTAATATACTTTCCGTTTCATTTGCTGCAGATTCAGCTTCCTTCGCCTCGCCACCAGCTTCTACTACTCTGTGCATTTTAGCTTGTTCTTGCTCTATACTCCTGTTGATACATTCGAACTCTTGCTGTATTTCCTCTTTTTTAAAATGATCGTCGCCATCAACAAAAATTTCTTGTGTTCGGATCGCATCCTTGTCTTCATTAATTTTGTTGTTAATGCGCTCCCGACTAGTTTTAGCTTCTTCTCGTGGTCTATTCTTCCAATTATCCATATCTATCGCCTGAGCACTTAGAGCCAAAGCCCGTCGTCTCGCGTCAGCTAACTCCATCGTTTCTCTCACCTTTTGCGCCACGGCCTCTTCCATCTCCCTGTACAGCTGGTTAACGTCTTTGGGTTTAGCCTCCATGCCTGCCAAATTGTTCTCGGGTAGTTCCGAGTTCGTCGACTCGATGGACGCTTTGCTCAAACGGTTTTCAGCCTTGGGGGAGTAACTCGTACATTTGTGGAATTGTTCTTCGATCACTGGGGCGTCGGTTAACGGATTTGCTGCGTTTTTTAGATCTGTCGCAGGGCTAGGGCTGACTAGTGGTTTTGGGGGGTCAACGACAGTCTTTTGGTTCCTTTCGTTTACAGCTTTGGTGGTTTCCAGGTGTCTGTCCTTTTTCCTGGTAAATATCCTGGCTATTCTGTTCCCGAAACCCCTTAAGGGAGCTGAAATAAGGATAGGAATTAATGTAATCGTCGGTATATGGAAGTAGTGGGCGAAATTTTATTATCGAAACGGTTTTATTCGTTTTAATGTGCTGCGAAGAAATTTTTTATGGGTTTAAACTTAATTTGTACGTTAAAAAGTATACCTACGTTTGGAAAATGTTAATTCCTGTAAATTAAAATGTCCGATATTGGCACTATGCCGCGTTTATGTTGCTGATGGACGGACGTTGTTAACTAGAATACCGTAGATCAAAGATATCCAAAATTTAATTAAATATTTCACAATCGTCGTTACGTCATACGTGCTTATGTAATGACCTTAATTTCCGTGTAAACAAAATAAATGCATTATTATCTTTTTGTTTGGGACAAACACAATATGACGAGGTTCGATGAAATTTGGAAATCGTATTATCGCTGCTGTAATATCTTCCATAGTTTTTACCCGCAACAATCGTTACTTCTGTATTTTTTATATTTCCGCAGTGTGTCGTAATAAACGAGAAAAACTATGTAACACTACTTTTTATTTCCACATATTAGAGGTAATATAACAGAAATACAATAAAATATATACTTGGTATTAAAATATAAAATACATATTACAAAAATGTACAAACAATATTATGCGAATTTAGATAACAGTTTCCAATAGCAAAATAGCTGTTCTATTTTATACATATAAAAATATAAACATCGCAGGCTACAGCTACGGGTAAAACAATAAATATACAGTATTTTTTTTTTTGTAATTTAAATATAAAGCGACCTGCGTGAATCTTTCTACAAGTCTCGTTTTTTCCTCTTCGGATCCATTAGGCACTCTGTATGCAGCTATAGTGAAGGCACACATATTAAAATGAGTATTAAATTAAATATCCTGGACATATACAATTGACGGTAATAGTAATACTTGTTTCCATTTTTTTTTTCTCACTAATCTAAGTTAAGCGTGTTCGTGATTTCGTTGTAACCTAAAAAACAGAGAAAATCGTTCTAGAAATAGATCATTCATTCCTGGAATTTATAATAATTAGTGGTAATACATAAAAATACATTATTATCAAAAGAAGACTTTTTTTATACACAACAATCAAGTTGGCTATTAATTAATGTGTCGTCATTCTTTTTTGTTTTTTAATAAATAAAAAGAAGTGGATGACTTGATTTAACCATTTAACCTATCTTAATGCGAATTTGAATGTTTTAAAAAACAATTGCAACAGCCTACTATATTTTTGCTACAGGACTATTTAACAAACCTCCTTGTACATTGTTATTGTTGTGCTATTTTTAGTGATTTTGTATCAATGATGTTCAAATTAAATTAATTGACTACTCGCGTGCGACCCAGCTCAGATTTATTAATAGTTATGATTGGGCTTCCTATTTTATTTTTATTACCTTTCCCAGAAAACCCCCACTAACCAAATAGACTACTTAATTTTGTCCGCAACCATAACAATTCATATATTTTCTTTGTAATGTGATACATAAATATGTAAAGCTATATTTAGACGTTCCTCAACACCTCTATTATTCATACATTCGGTTTCCGACAAAATTTAAATCTAAAGGCAGGTGCACACCGAGGGGCGATCCGCTAAGGAAAAAACGTACGAAGATTGCAAAATTTCTGAAATCTCTTGTAATGTATCTGCAGATTTCAATATCGATTAAAAAAAAAATTACAAATTTCATATAAATATGTAATCAAGATTACAATATCTTTCAACCGATTACAAAACATTTCAGGAGATTTCAGAGTTATTTTAGTAGATTTCAATGATTATTTAAGATTTCAATAGGATTATTTGAAATTAAAAGAAGATTTCAAAATTTCTTAATAATATTTCAAGGAATACGGGAAGATTACAATAAGTTTTGAATGTCCATTTGAACAAAAATAATTGAATTAACTTCAACTGTCATTCATTTCATTCATTAACAGTAGTGCTTTGATTAAGAATTTCCAGTATCATTTTTACGCAAAAATTGTAACATTCTGATTAAGTTTTTGTTCGAATGAACGTTAAAAACTTTTTGTCATGACAAAAATGATAACGCCATTTTGAAAGTAGGTAAGTATATATTTTTATTGAAAGATAAAAATATAATAATCCAATAAACTAATAAAAATAAAAAAAATAGAAGTAACATAAAATAAACATTTTCCCAAAAAATAAATAATAAGAAATATTTTAAGCTTTTATTAACACTTGTATTTAATACTTTACCTGTATACAGTGTATTTAAAAAAGACGCGGCAATATTTAAGGGGGTGATTGCCCAGATCATTTTATAAAAAAAAGTTCCTATAAACATACGTCCGCAAACGCTTCGTTACCGATCTACAGAATGTTGAAATTTCATTAAAAAAACAGTAAAAATTAAATTTCTCCAAAACCTCTTGATATTATAATGAAATTTTAGGCCTGTCAATAGCTATGGCAGACGCGTACTTTGCAATACAAAACGATTTTTTAGTCTTACCAGTGACTAGCTATTTTTAATGAAAAAAATAGGACCCCGCTGGTTTTTCTAAAAATATAATTTTTTAATTCCTTGTTCAATTATGAAGAAGAAAGCTTTCCTCAGATTATACGCACCGTACGTCACACCGTTATTGAGTAAAAAAATAAAAAACATTTTATTGCGCACCTAAACCCAATGTTGTTTTAATTGAGAAATTTAAATTATTGAACAAAGAAATTCAAATTATCAAATTTGATTGATTTTTGAAATGTGGTACATACTGTTGTTTGTAGTAGGTATAAGGGGCTGCGTTTTAGAGAAGTTTAATTTTTACTGTTTTTTAATGAAATTTCACATTCTGTAGATCGGTAACGAAGCGTTTGCGGACCTATGTTTATAGGACTTTTTTTATAAACTCCCTTAAATATTGCCGCGTCTTTTTTAAACACACTGTGTACAAGTAAAGTATTAAATGCAAGTAATAATAAAAGCTTAATATATTTTTTATTTATTAGTTTTTGGGAAAATACTTACCTACTTTCAAAATAGCATTATCATTTTTGTCATGACAAAATGTTTTTAACGTTCATTCGAACAAAAAACTTAATCAGAATGTTATAATTTTTGCCCAAAAAATGCCTGATACTGGAAATTCTTAATCAAAGTACTACTGTTAATGAATGAAATGAATGACATTTGAAGTTAATTCAATTATTTTTGTTCAAATGGACATTCAAAACTTATTGTAATCTTCCCGTATTCCTTGAAACCATATTAAGAAATTTTGAAATCTTCTTTTAATTGCTAATAATCCTATTGAAATCTTAAATAATCATTGAAATCTACTAAAATAACTCTGAAATCTCCTGAAATGTTTTATAATCGGTTGAAAGATATTGTAATCTTGATTATTTATATGAAATTTGTAATATTTTTTGAATTGATATTGAAATCAGCAGATACATTACAAGAGATTTCAGAAATTTTGTAATCTTCGTCTGTTTTTTCCTTGGCGGATTGCCCTTCGGAACACACCAGTCGTACCATATAGGTTTCTGTGGCATTTTTTGGAAAATGAGGGAGGGGGGGGGCGTTGTACAACGGCTACATCGACGAAATTCATTAGCTGATTACATAGATTACAGCGAGGATTACAGATAAGATTACGTAGATTATAGATAGATTACATAGATTACAGATAAGATTACGTAGATTACATAAAGATTCCAGGGCAAACGTACGAAGATTACATCAGCGGATCACCCCTCGGTGCACACCTTTCAAAAGCATGTGGTATATTAAAAATAAGATAAATTTATGGTTTTTACAATAAAAAAATCAAACGGGTTCTAAATCTAAGCTTCCAAGTTAAATGATATACTTACATTTATTTATGTGAAATCAAGCTTTTGCCAAAAAGATTAGAAGCTACGTTGGCGGCCTCGTCCAGGCCTGCATGTGCCCTTTTGTTCGCCTCGTCCAGGTCGTCGATCGCCCCTTCTCTTTTGTTATCTGAGAAGTGGGACACGTCCTGCAGCTTATTATCGACTGCCTGTCCCGTCTGCCTTAATCGATTGTCGACATTGTGACCGAACTGTTGCAAATTGCTCTGAAATGGAAAATAGTACACTTTTTCACATGTTTAAATACAAAAGTAAAAAATAAATGTATGCATTTGAAAAAGACACTTTTAAAACATTTATATAAACTGAGATATAGTGGTCTAAAATGAGATCCGTGAGGAACTCCTCGAATGATAATCAAAGGAAAACACTATTTTTGAAAAATAATGCAAAATTTAGATTTTTATTAAAAAATCCAACCTGTACGTTTTGTTTCTCTTGGTTAGCGGCGTCGTGGATATTTCTCGCGGTGTTTCCTAGGGCACTCTGGGCGCTGGACGCTCCTTGCTGCAAGTTGTGTCCAGCGGCCCTCAGCTTATTGTCCATCGCGATCTCTGCATTATGAAAGCCGGTGTTGACATTTTGAGCCTTCTGGTTTATGGCCCCACCTGTTTGCCTCAGTTTGTCTAAAAAAAAATACATTAAAATGCAGTGTGCAACAAATACCAAAATTTATGTGATGTCATTTTAAATTTACATGAAGGATCTTAAAGGCATTCTAGATAATCGCTACAAAAATGTTAAATTAATTAAATAAAAGAAATACATATTCCAGTTCCAAAAAGTAGTAAGCAGTAAGTTGTATTTGTGATCAAACCTATTTTTTAATCTGATAAAAAAACTTCAGGAAAATTGCATTTCGCATAGTGCTATATTAGACCAGGCAAGTTAGACAATAAATCAGAAAATTTTTTCTGATGAACCGATCGAGTTGCGGTTTTCGGCATTGTCTTTGGAAAAATATCAGGAAAAAAGTCCATCTATTACACTTTGGGGCTGGATCGAAACAGCATTGCGGGTGCATAAACTGCATCTTGGAGTGCATCAATTTTTTCGAATTTTCTAAAATTGGTAAAAATTTACTAAAAGTTGTAGAAATTTGTGTGCACGGGTTTTCAGGGTTGGAGATTCCAAATGCCCGATAGCCGCATGTGTTTGAAACAGGACAAACAGGAATTTACTATGAACACATCGAATCTGGTGCAGTGATTGTCATGGATAGTGGGCCTTACCATAGTCAATGAATAGAAAAAGTGTTAACATCTGCATAGAGACATGGAAAAATCATGAAAAGATTAAATGGAAGACATATTGCTTGTTGCACGGATGTACATGTCTAGAATGAGTCGCTGCCTACCATTTAATAAAAGATTATGAATTATAAATTTGCTTTATATCAGGTATTATATAGGGCGTCCTACAAAGATCTGATGTCATTCGGAGAAAAATGAATGGCCTCCAAATGATCTGTAAGAACCAGATACCAGAAAAATTTTTTGACCCCGCATTCAAACGCAACATTTGGGCTCTACTGATCGTTTTCAAATTAACTTTGAAATTAAAGATCACGGCATATTGTTATCTTGATATCCTACGTTTATCTGTAATTTTTTTGATAGAACTCAAAAGTTCATGATTTTTTGGGGCACCCTGTATATAGGGTGGCCCATTTGATACCTGACTTTAGATGGGCCACCCTGTGGATATAGGTATACAATTACATATTTATTTATATTAAAATAATTGACTTACCTTCAAATGCGCTTTCGAAACTGCCGACTCCCTGCGCCAGCTGCCTCTTCCTAGCCTCGGCAGCTTCTGTGGTTTCGTGCAGCTTGTTGTCGATACCTCTAACTGCGCTTATGGCGACATTCTGGGCACCAGCGGCGGTTTCGTGGAATTTATTATCCACGTTTCTGGCTACATTCTGTGCTCCTACAGCGGCGTTATGGGCGAGATTCTGCGCCCCTTGGGCGAGTTCCCTTCTTTTAGCTTCAGCTGCTTCCGCTGTGTCGTGAAATTTGGTGTCGATAGTTCTGGCTGCGCCAATGGCGATGTTCTGGGTGCCCGCAGCTGCATTATGAGCGACATTTTGCGCCCCTTGGGCGAGTTCCCTTCGTTTAGCTTCAGCTGCTTCCGCTGTATCGTGAAGCTTGGTGTCGATAGTTCTGGCCGTGTTTTGGGCGGTGTTCTGGACGCCGGCTGCTGCGTTGTATGCGAAGTTTTGGGCCCCCTGTGCGAGTTCCCTTCTCTTAGCTTCAGCTGCTTCGGCTGTGTCGTGAAGTTTAGTGTCGATACCTCTTGCTGCGCTTACGGCGATATTCTGTGCGCCAGCAGCGGTATCTTGGAGTTTGTTATCAACGTTTCTGGCGACATTTTGAGCACCTGTAACCACATTATGGGCGAGATTCTGGGTGCCTTGCGCGAGTTCCCTTCTTTTAGCTTCAGCTGCATCAGCTGTGTCGTGAAGCTTGCTCTCGACACCTCTAGCTACGTTCTGTGCACCCACAGCTGTGTTGTGGGTCAAATTCTGTGCACCCTGGGTCAGTTCCATTCTCTTTGCTTCCGCAGCTTCAGCCGTGTCGTGAAGCTTGCTGTCGACACCTCTAGCTACGTTCTGTGCGCCCACAGTGGCGTTGTGGGCCAAATTCTGTCCACCCTGGGCAAGTTCCCTTCTCTTTGCTTCCGCAGCTTCAGCTGTGTCGTGAAACTTGCTGTCGACACCTCTAACTACATTTTGTGCGCCTGCAGCTGCGTTGTGGGCCAAATTCTGCGCACCCTGGGCAAGTTCCCTCCTCTTTGCTTCCGCAGCTTCAGCTGTGTCGTGAAGCTTGCTGTCGATACCTTTCGCTACGTTCTGTGCGCCCACAGCTGCGTTATGGGCCAAGTTCTGTGCACCTTGAGCAAGCTCCCTCCTTCTTGCTTCTGCAGCTTCAGCTGTTTCGTGTACTTTATTATCAATGTTCCTGGCAACGTTGTGTGCTCCCTCAGCTAGGGCTCTCCTTCTAGCTTCGGCAGCTTCAGCCGTTTCGTGAAGTTTGTTGTCGATATTTCTGGCGGCGCTTTGCGCGAGATTTTGCGCGCCCTGGGCCAATTCCCTTCTCTTGGCTTCAGCGGCTTCGGCAGCTTCGTGTACTTTGCTGTCGATGTTTCTGGCGACGTTGTGTGCCCCTTCAGCTAGTGCCTTTCTTCTAGCCTCAGCAGCTTCTGCTGTCTCGTGGACTTTACTGTCAATGCCCTTGGCTACGTTTAGCGCCGTTTCAGCTAATTCTCTCTTCTTGGCTTCGGTAGCTTCAGCAGCCTCGCGAGCTTTTTTAGCCGCGGCATCTTCAGTTTCTCTTATTTTATTATCGATATTCTTGACAAAGTTCTGAGTTCCTTGGGCCAGTTCCTGCCTCTTAGTCTCGGCAGCTTCGGCCGCTTCTCTAGCCTTCTTCTGTACCGCGTCTTCGGTCTCTTTTATCTTGTTGTCGACGTTTCGAGCTGTGTTCTGGACGCCCTCAGCCAAGGCCTTCCGTTTAGCTTCGGCCGCTTCGACTGTTTCCCTTACTCTTTGCGCGACAGCTTCTTCTGTCTCTCTGAACTTCTGGCTGGTGTCTTTGACTGTGTTGTCGACATTTCTACCGATGTTAACTAGGCCCTGTTCTAGTTCTTTCTTCTTGTTGTCTGCGGCTTGCGCAGTGCTCGCTAGAGATTCGTCAGTTTCGCGTATCTTGTTGTCTATGGCTCGGCCTATGTTGAGCAGGCTCTCCTGCAAGGTGTTTTCGGCAGCTTGGCCGGTTTCCTTTACCTGCCGTCCTGCTTTGTTTAGGTCTTCGTTTAAGGCGTTTTTGGCGTTTCTCGCGTCGTCAGCTGCAAATATAATTGGTGTGTTAGCAACAAAAGAGACTTTATTAAAGCAAGGAGTTGTATCAAGCAAGGACTTACCCACATTCTGAGCGACTTGCTCGGCAGCGTCTGCCGCTTTGTCGATTTGTTCATCGACTACGTTCTCGACGTTTTCTCCGGTTTCTTCGGCTTCCTTCGCGACGTCCTTCTTTTTCCTGGTGAAGAACTCGCTCACTCTGGTGCCGAAATTCCGCAGAGATGCTGCAAAAGATAACCGGTGTTAAAAACATCGGGAAAAGAGAGTTCTTAAATGGGTTCAGTAATGCACACTTAGCTCAAATCTGTTACTTTTTTTTGCTAAGCGTTCTCATGCACGTCCAACCAAGCGGGAAGGTATCGAACTCGGAAGCGATATTCATTTTACAGTCATTTAATGTTTGTTAATTACCGGTATTGCCCGTAATATGTACTGTATCGACGTAAAAGTATCATATCCTTGATTACTAAACAATTTTGTAGCGTAAAACTTGCTGCGTATCTTGTTGATATCAAAATCTAGATTTGATCAATTGGATTCGAGTCTGGAAAGATAGCAGGCGGGGATTGATTTCGCCTTCTAGACGTGTGGCTTTCTTAAATGCTCGGATGTTAGGATTGAATTAGTTGTTAGGTAACAAGGTCGTGAGTTTCTGGGAACGTGAAAGAACTAAAATGTGCCAACAAACTTTATATACAACGTGCCATAGGCACATGAAGTTTATTAGTTTTCTGATTAGTTACATACAAAATTACTATTACACTGTTATTAATAAATTTAATGCTCTTTGTGCCAAACATACTTTTACTCACCCCCTCAAACGTACTTTAACGGTTAAAATTTTAGTTCTTTCGTTTAAATTCACTCACGTTGTAGGGGGAAACGATTCGGGGATGTTATAAATCTTTGATCTGAAAATTTAACATAAGATCGTGAGGGGAATATTCCACAAAAGGAAATCAGAAACTTACCCTGTTAGAGAAAGGTTATATATCACTTTCTCTTACTCATTTATTATGCGTATTCGGTCGGGGAAACTTCCGCCATCAAAACAAAAATGACGAATGACTTTTTCGAAATAAGGAAGTTGTTTATATTCTAGAGATTCGTAGATGTAAGCGATAATAGCTTTGCTTCTTTTGCATTATAAGAGTTTCCAACCGTCAGGAACAGTTGCATTTGATTCGAGACAAAAGGCCAATCAAGTTGTCGAAAATACCTCGTTTTTTGCCAACATTTTTCCTAATTTTTACATGTCTTTGTTTACTGAACTAAATTTTGCTACGTAAAAATCTAGTTTGATAGCACTATATTGAGTCGGAGGGGACTATTTTGAATCAAATTAATCAGTTTCGACAAAAAACTTTTTGTTATTCTTATTTTTAAAAAGTCTTGTTTACTTGCGAACGCACCTCGTAAAACAGCTATATAGGCCAGGAAAATAAGCCAAAGTCATAAAAATAGGGGAAGATTGTTTACAGGGTGGTTAATTGTATAATTTTTACGTAAATTCGCGTTTTTCGCTTATCACTTTTTTCCGTTCATTTACACGAGAAAACAGTAAAGTACTTTTGTTTCGTCTTCAAAAGACCTACAAAACTAACCCTCGAACGTCAAAAAATATTGATTGAATCAAAAGTTATAAACAGAAGAAGTTTATTTATGACTTTTGAATTAAACATTTATAAAGTGCGTTATTATTACCAGGACGTTTTGGCATCGCATCCTCTCATCCCTTATCACTGTCTAATAACTCACACGAAATCTGGAATCGGTAAGTTGAATAATTTACAAGTTATGACCTTATAAACAAATTAACTAATTTCTGGAAGATCCCAAGGATCTTCCACAATCGCACAGATTTTTTTTCAAGGTAGATTTCATAATAATACATTGAAATCTATATTTTTTTTTAATTTCAAATTTGCAACCTGGATTTTTTTTTTGTTTTAACCTTAGTTGCAAAATGAAATATACGACGCACACGCGTGATATAGTTATATATTATTACATATTCGGAAAGCTTATGAAAAGAGCTTTAAGGTAAAAAAAAATCATCAAGAATCGTTGAAAAGCAACGGAGTTACAAACTGTCAAAGTTGATGGCTGATTGTTAAACAAATTAGGTTGGTAGCGGCAAAAAAAAATACTGTCATAACCGGCAACCCGAGTACTTTCCCAGGTAAAAATATTTTATTTGTGGAAGTATGTTAAGTGCATAAGAAATTTTGTCAAAAGTCAGTGGGTCGCTTGATTTTCGGCGAGTCGTGGCGCGGCGGAAGGGTGGGGGGAGCGAACGACAGCGAATCCGAAGAAAATGACTATAATATTCATAGTCCTGCCGTTAAATAAGCGAAATTCGCTTGAAAATAATATATTTGACAGTCTGTAACTCCGTTGTTTTTCAACGAATCTTGACGATTTTTTTTAACTTAAGCTCTTTTAATAAGCTTTCCGAATATGTAGATTTCAATGTATTATTATGGAATTTACCATGAAAAAAATCAGTGCGATTGTGGAAGATGCTCTGGATCGTCCAGACTAATAATTAGTTAATATGTTTATAAGGCCATAACTTGTAAACTATTCAACTTACCGATTCCAGATTTCGTGTGAGTTATTAGACAGTGATTACAAATGAGAGGATGCGATGCCAAAACGTTCTGGTAATATAAATGTTTAATTCAAAAGTCATAAATAAACTTCTTCTGTTTATAACTTTTGATCTAATCAATATTTTTTGACGCTCGAGGGCTAGTTTTGTAGGTCTTTTGAAGACAAAAAAAAGTACTATACTGTTTTCTCGTGGAAATGAACGGAACAAAGTTATAAGCGAAAAACATGAATTTACGTAAAAATTATACAATTAACCACCCTGTAAACAATCTTTCCCCCATTTTTATGAATGTGGAAACTAATTTGTTATTGTATATAATATTTAGCATCTATAGTGATAAATTCATCTCGCCGAAACAAAAAGTCGCGTCCAACTCTATATTTCCTGGACTAGTATACAGGGTGGTCCGAATTTTATGCAGGAAACTTCGAGGGCGGATAGATCTTTTTAAAATAGTAGGTGTTTGCCTTATAAACATAGGTCTGGAACGGCCAAGTTTTAGAGATACAGGGTGTTGAAGTTGTTAAAATATATAAATTTTTTGTTTATATCTCCGGAATCCATCGACCGCTTTCAATAAAATTTAGTACAGATAATGTATGATAGTAGGCCTTATATTCCCTAAAATATGAGCTCTAAAGATTCAACCAGTGGTGTACAACTGGACAGGGTCACCCCCTTTTTTATAAAAAAAAACCTACGCTTCTGTATTTTTTACAAGCTATTGCAACGAATTTATATTCTAATGCACAAAATACGTAAAAAAGGTAACTTGAATTTTTTCCCTAAAGTTCACCGTTCTCAAGTTATTCATACCAATACAATTCCCTTGTGGCAGACACTTCTAACCATAATATTACAAGAATATTTATGTTTGTGCTTAAAAGTAAGTGCAATTTGTAAGCACAATCACTTTCACCTTTTTGGATTAAAATAATATTGGGAAAATCACGACAAAGGAATGAAAGGCACAGAAATGAAATTTTGAAAGCATTTCGGTCGATAAATAAATCGGTCGATAGCCGCACGGTTTAAGGCGTCAGTACTTAAATCGATGTGTCGAACTGCCCGGGTTTCGAATCCCGCGGCCGGTGACCGTAGATTATCTATACTTGTACGGAGGATTCCTCTGTGCAGGTATGGTAGGGTGGAAGAATGTTGGCTTGGGTCAATGTGAGAGATTGACACCGGTTGGCATTTGACCACCCCCCTAATTAATGAGGTTTTCCATGTTTCCGTCATTCCTGCACTGAATGGTGGTTAGGGCCTACCAACATAAGTCGTTCCTGGGCGCAAATGCGGCCTGCGTAATAATAATATGCCGCCTCCTCTCCCGCACAAGTCTCCGACTTCTGGGCTAATTCTCGTAATTAGAATGAGGAGTAGAGATATTATTATTTATTATATTATTATATTGCACGACGTTCCTCGACTAAGTAGGTTCACGAAGAACGTCTCGGCAACTTGGGGTGAGTAAATCGAAAATTTGAAGTTCTACGTAATGATGGCAGAAATCCGTACCATTTACAACCTGTACAAAATTTACTTCCGGGAGATGCAGAGAGACGCTTGAATTTTTATCAGTGGTTGTTTGAATGATTACTAGAAATACTTTGGACCGATTAGGCTACGTTCACAAGGCGAATGGTAGTGAATTTTCACAATCTTGATATTTGGTCACAAGAAAATCTTCATGAAATTCGGAGTAATTTCTAAACTTTCTAGAAAACCATCTATTTAAATTATTAGAGGATGTTCCATTAAGTATACGACAAAATAGCTGGATGCAAATGGATGGTGCTCCTGCGCATTTTAGGAGAATAATACAACAATGGCTTAATGAAAATTATGTGAGATGATGGATAGGTAGAAGACCAAATGCCAATGTCAACAATAATGGTGCCTTGGCCAGCCAGATCGCCAGATCTAAACTCCCTGGACTTCTACGTTTGGGTGACCTACCTGAAAAGTTTACTCTACACCAATAGATACTAGACCACAACTACTGCAGCGAATAGAAGACAAGTGTAATGAATTAAAAGATAACCACCACATGGTATTAGCTTCAATTAGTTCCATTAATAGAAGATGTCAGAAATGTATCGATGTGGGTGGTTTGAATTTTAAACAATTGCTGTAAATACGCAACATTAATTTTGTTTTTTGTTTAGTTGTGGCTTGGGAAATGTATTTTTATTATTAAAGGTAAATGTATTTTTATTATTATTTTGATTTAAATTGTTCTTATTTGTAAAGATAATGCCTCCAGGGAAAACTAAAACACACCAGGAACACTACCTCACAAGTGATGTGGAAAGAATTTTGTTGATGTGCTTACAAATTGCACTTACTTTTAAGCATAAACATAAATATTTTTGTAATATTATGATTTGAAGTGTCTGCCACAAGGGGATTGTATTTGTGTGAATAACTTGAAAATGGTGAACATTAAAGAAAACATTTAAGTCATCTTTTCTACGTATTTAATGCATTAGAATATAAATCCGTTACAATAACTAGTAAAAAATACAGTGGCGTAGGTTTTTTTTTTTATAAAAAGGGGGGCGACTCCTGTCCAGTTGTGCACCACAGGTTAAACCTTTAGAG